CTTCTCTTAATTAAGATTTTTTAATTTTAAATTAATTTTTTTTTTTTATTAAATTTTTTTTGCTTGCTTAAATCCCCCTTCATTATTTGCCATTACATAATGATATTATAAAAGGAAAGGAAAGGAAAGAGAAGGGGAGGGAAAAAAAAGGGAAACCGGAAATGAAAAACCGACGTAAAAATTCGGTAAATAGTTATTACAATAATTACAATTTGCTCCCCACTTTTGTTATAATGAATACGCTTTTACCTTTTTATACCTTTTGTTTCCCTTTCCTTCCCTCCCCTTCCTCCGTCCCTCCCCTTCTCCCCACTCCTTCTACCTTTCCTTACTCTTTTCCCTTTTTTTTTTTTTAAAACTTAAAAAATTTCAAATATTGTATATTTACACAAACACACGCACGAAAAAAAAAAAACTTTATTGTTCTCTCTCTCTCTCCCTCCCCCCGTCTCTCTCTCTAATATATAAACACAATTAAACCGAATAAAATCGACTTTATTTTTCTCCTTCCACGTTTGTTTTTAAACTTTCCTTTATTATCATCATTATTATTATTATTTTTTAATTTATTCGCGAAAAACTTTTCTTTTTTTTTTTAATTATTGAAAATTGAAAATTATTTATATTGATTAATTGATTGAAAAATGATGATGAAAATAATATAACAATAATACAATTATTATCATTATTATTTATCGGTAACTTTTATCATCATTATTATTAATATAAAAGGAAAAGTTTCGTTAAATAATAATAATAATAATAATAATAATAATAATAATAATAAAAAACAAAGAAATAAGATAAATGGGCTGTGAAAAACCATGAGAAATAATCGAAAAGTTTTTTTTTTTTTTTTTAAATGAAAACTTTTTAATATTGGAAAATTTTATTTAAATATGGCGCTACGCGTATCATCATCATTATCATCATCATCGTCGTCTTCTTCGTCATCATCATCATCATCATCATTTGTTCCTTTGTTCTTGTTGACGATGATGATAATAGTAATATTATAATTTAAAAAACAATTTTTATTTTATTTTATTTTTTATCTTTATTCAAATGTTATTTTCAATTTCATTTACTCAATTTATTATCATCATCATTATAATATTATTATTATTATTATTATTGTCATCACCATTATTATTATTATTAATATTATTAATAAATTAAACGTCTTAAGACAAAAGAATCGAATTTTTTTTGTTTGTTACGACGTTGGTACGTCGAAGTAAATTTTCGCCCATCCTTTTTTTCTTTCTTTCTTTCTTTCTTTCCTTTCCATCTTTTCTTCTTCCAACCTTTTTTCCTTCCTTTTTTTTCCTTCCATTATTTCATTCATTCATTTTTTTTTAATTTTTTCCTTTTTTCTTTTTCTTCTTCTTTATTCTAGTCATCTTTTATTTTAATCTTATATATACTTTTCTCTTGTTTTGTTTAAAATCTGGTTATTATTATTATTATTATTTTGATAAAAAGTTTTTTGTCTTATTATATTATTATTATTATTATTATTATTATTATTATTATTATTATTATTATATACATTACATATATTTTTTATTCTTTTTTTATTTATTTTCTTTCTTTTTCTTTTTTTAAAGGATATAAAAATCCTTTAATTAAATTTTTTTTTTTAAAAAAATTGAAATACGATGTGCAGTCGTATAAACAAAAAAAAAAAAAACAGAAAAAAAAACGTTTTTATTTATAATTAAATTATTTTTTATAAAACGAACGAATAATGAAAAAAATTTTGCTACAAATAAAAATTGTTTAAAGCAAAAACCAACAACATGTTGATTATGTTTTCAAAAGTTGATAAAAATTTCCACGTTGCTACGTAGAGGAGAGAAGGGACGGAAGGGAGAGAGAGGGAGAGAGAATAAAAAAGTATAAAATAATTGACGGATAATAATAATAATTTATACGAATTATTATCATTAACAAACTTATGAGAGTTTGTTTGTTTCGAATAACATTCGTTAAAAATATTTATTTTGTTTCGTATGACGTTTTTATTTTTTCTCATAATTTTTTTTACTCTATGACATAGATATTTGTGTCAGGTGTTAAACGAAAAAAAAAAAATTTTTTTATTTATTCATCCCGTTATAAATATTATTATTATTATTATTATTATTATTTTGAAGTGGTTGTAAATAAATAAGAGAATGGGGGGAGAAAATAAGTAAATAAATAAATAAAAAGGTTTTAAGATTGCGTTTTGTCAAAGAATTGGCAACAAGTCGAATATTTACCAAACGTATCGAGTAAATTTTTTTTTTGTTAACAAACGCAAAACGTGGATCCATATCCGGTGATTTCGAAACGTAAAAAATATCATATAAAATATTATTATTATTATTATTATTATAAGTATAATTTTTATCGCACTAAAAATAAAAATAAAAAAAATAATTTCCACTTTTTTTTAAGAGAAGAGAAAAAATAAAAATGGCGGAAAGAAAATTTTAAAAGGATTTTTTTTTTTACATATATATAAAATTTATTCAAGTTTTATCACACGCATACGCAAATTTCAAACAAACTCAAATCAACATTTTAAATTTAACGGGTTCAAATTTTATTCTTCGTGGAAAAACCTAAAAGTAAAAAATTTTCCTTTAGTAATAATAATAATAATAATAATAATAATAATAATTATCATCGGGTGACGATAAATTTTCTCCGTCGTGACGTATATTCGAAAAAATGGCGGATCGAAAACAATTTCGATTTTTTTTTTTTAATATTTATTTCTCTTTTAATTATTAATTTTCTTTTTCGTTGGATTTTCTCCAGGAAAATATTTTTAAAATGATTCTCCAGGAAAAATTAAAAAAAAAAAAATTTTTTTAATAATTCTCGCGCACCTCAAAGAAAACCTAGAGAAATAATGATGATTATTATTATTAAAATTTTTTTTGTTTTTATTTTATTTATCGACGAACGTTTGTGTTCTTTTACGTTTGTTAAACATTTTTTTTTATTACTCTATGACTTCAATAAACGAAAATGGTTTTTTTTTTTTTTAAATCCCATTTAATTCGAAAAAAAAAAAAAAAATTTTTTTTCTCTCTCGACTGTTACTGACAGGCAAATAACATTATCAAAAAATAACAGGCAACACACACTCGTTAAATTAAAATAAATATTATTATTATTATTATTATTATTATTATTATTATTATCATTTAAATAAAATATAAATAAATCAATAAACGATAAATAATAATAATAATTATTATTATTATTGACGATATACTAACCAATAAATATCTCACGATCGGGATTGGATAAAAAAAAAAAAAAATTTTTTTTTTT